CCATGGCAACCTTAACTTGCCATGTAATATATAGTACACTATGTTTCCCATGTTTAAATATTCAGTTCATCCATATTTTGTGATTTTCTCTCTAAAATTTGAATAACCTGCCGAAGGATTTGACATATCTTAACAATTTAGAGTGTTGACTTACATTTAGTTTATTTCTTGCTAATTAAACTCTTTTATGCTTCATTTTGCATTTTGAAATGTAATCGTGATCCTTTTTTATTTTCTCTTGCGTAAGTGCAGTTCATAATGAATTATTTTCTTTACATTGTTAGAATTGTAATCACACCACCAGCATATGTTATTTGCAAAACAACAACAAATTAATCCTTGTCCTCTGATACATTCTTTCTTCGTATAAGGTTTTTTTCTTCCTATATTGATGTCTTGCATCATTCATGTATGAAAAATAGTTATGAATGTTGAGCACTTTCAGAGAGGGTACATGTATATAGTTCAAAGTGCTGTTATCTGGCTTACAGGGTTCTCCGTTAGGAGACAATGGGATACAGTTGATTTGCTAGTTATGTATGAACCGCACATGAAATCCTTCTCACCAGGAGCAACAACTAATCAATTGAATATACAGTAGTTCACTATTTTTTTTACTTTAGTTTAATGAAAATATTTGTTAGATGTGATTTCTTCCTTGATTGATTCTCCATATATCTGTTTCATATCATGTCTGATTTTAGAGTTATTTTGTTTTCCCATTCTCCAAATGCAGGAGTTTAGAGATCATACACTCTCTGTTCCTTCCTTCTCTGTCATAACATAAGGAAAAAAGAAAAGTGTGGATATGTTTGGAGCCTACCCTGCTTGCAGAGTCATAAGTTATGAACTAGATGAGGGACTCTTCTCAGAAGTTCGATCAAATACTTAGTGTTTTGGAGCCCTGCATTTGGAGGGTGTGTTTTCCTGCTCAGATGCCCAACTTGTGTTTGTTTGATCAGTAGCACTAAAAATTATTTTCATTTTCCCTCATTTTCGTATTTTTTATGTCAAGGTAAAGAATGTGTTCTGATATTCAATTTCTAGCTAGCTAATCATTTTCAGGGTTAGTATTTGGCCATTTTAGCCCCTGAGGATCTATTGTAAATACACAACTGAGATTTTCAATAGGTTTGCCTCTTGAAAGCCAAAAAATCAACATGGCCAATGTTAGTGGTCTTGAAAATCTGCCAAGATTCAAATGCCTAAAGTAGATTACCTTTCAAGTTACCCCCTAAAAATATCACAGAGCCCGGTGTTTTAAAATTCAAAATTCAATAGAAATGTATTCAATTATATGGAAATAAAGTATAGAGGCATAAAGTTCACATTCTGTATTGTATAGAAATTAAAAAAAAGTTTTACTCATTATTCAAGTTGAAGAGAAACTATGTAAAACATGTATGACTATATGGATATTTTAGTTTGGTTTATTTAACATTGGGTTACTACTTGTAAAGTATCTGATAAATGCAGGGGGATGTATTTAGGTCAATACATAAATTGTAAAAGTCCATCTTTAAATGTTTTTGTGTTAGTATATCCTTATATGTACTGTTTTAAACCTGTATAATAAGTAAATGATGAAACATGAAAGTAGCATGGGATAAATTGATGTTATGAAATGAATGGTTCATTTATTAGGTTTTATAAAAAAGGAAATTCCTAGTGAATGTCAATGGACTGAATGATTTTGCTGTGTACCAAATGCTAACTTTAATGAAGTTCAAATTAAATCCAATGTGTCTCTTTAGGGAGATGATAGTCATGAATATGATCCAATCAATATATCTTCGTTGTGGCATTATATCTCATGGGACATTGGAATTTGTGTGAAGGGTAATTAGTACATCTACCATTGTGTCATGATTATGTAGAATCTTGAATTTACTCTACTGTGCTAGCATTCTTCTGCGCCAAACAGCCATGTGCTCATGCTTATCGCCATGACGACTCTGAACAACTTGAATAGAGAACGTTATTTTCTTGCATTTTCTATTATTTAGATTTGACTACATGTTTGATTCCTTTTTCAATGCTGATTTAACTCTTTTTTGTACCTCATATATCTCTTAAAAGTATGATATTTTAAAAATGGGTAAGCTTGTGCGTACACTAAGTTATTTCTGAAGAGATTGATGGAATTTATGACGTATGTTTGCACTTTTCATCTGTCAAGAAACCCTGTTGGTGTTTGCCAGATTATGAAGGTCAGACAACACCATCTATTGGTCTCTGAAAGAACTAATATTTTCCTATGTTGTATTTTGCTTTCCTTCAAGGAAGATGGTGTTTTATGGTTTCCTTTATTGATTATAATTCATGTATGAATAGAACATATTGACTGGGCCAAGAGAATAATTAGGGTCATGCAGGGACTTGTTGGCAGAGATTTCCGGAGCAGGCTGGCAGAACAAGTTCAATGAAAGAAGTTGGCCATTGGTTTATCAAGATAGTAATGAACCATAGATAACAAAAATTGATTAAAACAATTAACCATTTCATATCTTTCTGATTTCATTAATTTTGGCATCTACAACAACATTTACCTGCTTTTGAGAAAAGATAAAGAGGGAGAACTACCTGTATTGACTATAACCCTAACAATGTTTTTACTCAAGTTCTAAATATGATCCCCCTCCATGATGTGGTTCCCCCAAGATTGCTTCCTGTATTGATAACCAATAAACTCTTTACTTGTATATAATACTTCAAAGAAAGGAAATGAGGACTCTGTATGAGCTTATGGTTTGTTTTCAGATTACATATATTTCCTGTATATGATTTTTCTGTGGTTTTAAGATTATAAATAATTCACATGGGTTGTTTGGGGTCAAACTATATTTTACTTTTCCCTTTCCTGTAGACCATATAATGAATTTAAGTGCAACACAGTGAAATTTATCACTGTGATCACTATTAAAATGCAAAATATAATAAAAATGAGTGGAATTATGAAAAAATAAATGACATAGTTATAAAGTTAAAATGTTAAATTATGTACAAATGCAAGAATATCAAATGTTTCATCTAAATTTTAGAGAGAAATGGAATAGAATACAAATTGAACAGACATCATTTTAAGCCAGGTATTTGTAGGGTTAAATATTCCAATACATTCTTGTGGTGATTTCCAACACACCTTCTATAACATGATGGTGTAACTTTCATTAAAGCTTTATCCTCTTAGTGTAATAAGATTACCAGAGTTTAACTCTGATAACTGTGTTTATTATATCCTAACAAAATTGGGGGGATGTATAATAGCAAAGTTGCCAATCTGCCCGTCCTATGGAATTAGGTCAGTAGGGATATCATAAAGCCTTCTGTCAACCTTAAATTTCATGAAGGTCTTAAGAAACATTGTTGAAGCGAGTGCCATCTTTGTTTTCCTTCCTTATGAATTAACTTCAGTAAAGGTAGCAGTAAACATTCTGATACTCATAATGTCTTTCTGTTTCACCTGAAACATGGGGCTAAGAAGAAATGAGATGTCTATGATGATGAGCAGTAAAGTCATTGATAGATTCACAGCCTCTACTATCTATGTAAGAGAGGTCTTTGAATTCCAAATTGTAACAGGGGGGGGGGGGAGAGACCTTACCAGTGTGCTTGAGGAGGAGAATAATGGGGGAATGGGTTCTGTAATACTGGGGACAGATGAAACAATAAATTTTAGGCTCCATGGTAGAGTACCAAAAACAGGTTTAGCCCTAGATTGTTTGACTCATATTTACTCACCTAATAGGCCGCAAAGGGTAAAACTTATCTATGTATTATTTAATTGATAAAGATTAAAACCAATAAACAACACCAATTTCAAAATGAGATGTTGTAAAATTGTAAAACTGTGATTTATGTCATGATTTAGAATATAGGCCATGAGATGTGACATGTAAACAAAAAAGTAAGACATTATATAAATATAGCTGATTATGTATTTGACTAGTGTGACATATTGATAAGATTGAAGTGTTTAAAATAATCCCTAAAATTTATTTAAAGTTTATTTTTGCTTTTTTGAGTTGTCATAGAAACCCACAGATCTGTAATACATTTTTTGAGAAATATATAATTTAGGTTGTTAATATATGATTTCGTTTTTTAAATTTCGCTATTGTTTTTTTACGTAAATTTTTTTATCGGGAATATATTAATTGTAGGTAAATAAATTATATAATGCACATGATAAAAAATAAAGAAGGCTTTTAAGAGCCACCTTCAAAATATAAATTCATCAATTATAAAGATAAAAAAACAAGGTCAACAAATTTTATAGCCATGCAGATGCCCTCGTAAGTTTGAAATATAAACATCTAAAAATATTTGAATTGCAAAATGGCATACTAACGACACAAGACACACCTCAGATAAATCTAAAAATATGGATGTGATACAACATTACAAAATATATTTCTTCATGTAAACTTGGTTTATATCATTAGAGTAGTAGACATTCATAATAAGAGAGACACAATACCTGATTTACCTGGTAGACTTGCTAACCTGGATTAATTAACCGAGAGTTATCTTGTAAGATTGATGCATCTGCCATTAGCTAATAAGTATCAACATGATATCTCCATCAGTGTTTCAGCAGTTAGATCACAGTGGATTTAAAAAGAATGGATATGGGCATATCCAGCGAGAAAGGGAAAATATGAAAAAAGGTAAATTAGGGAACATTATGTGATTTTGGTACATGGAGTGGAGGATTGTATGAATTATTATATCATCACCAGAATATATATTCTCCAACTTTTGGATGGTATTCGGCGTTTGGCATCTGTAACAGCATCTGTAACAAATAGCAGGTTGTAACATAATGCATGTTGATGCCTTGCATGATCAGAATATATTTCATTTGAAATATATTCTGATCATACTATTCTTCTTGACCTTGATATTCGAGCTTGAAATTTCATTTTGATGTCCCATGTTAAAATTCAAGATCCAGGAGATCAAACAATATTAATGTTTTTTCTTTTGTATTTTTGCAGGTACGTCATTGGTGAAGAAACCTCGAAATCGTGCGACGCTATTTAGTTCATTCTTCTGCTGTTTTGGTAATCCGCACCCCCAACCCCAACAAAGTACCCCAGTGCCTACAGTTGTCAATTGTGAGGAACAGAATGGAACCACGAAAGTAAGTATATGTGGAAACAAGGGCTTGTTTTTAGAATATGAATTTGGCTTGAAAGAGTGGAATTAGCAAAGAATAAAGTAATCAGATTATGAGTCAACACTTGTAATTATGAAAAAAACTGAGACTGAACAGACTTTTTAGAAAGATGGAATAAGTATGAAGAGAGAAATGTAAAGCACTTTTGCATCAGATGGCTGTGAATATAGTACTCTAAATGTTTCTGGTAAACCACAGATTGGCTCTTCTACCATTTCTTGAATGGAGGAGGTCATGGTAGTCGTGTTTTAAAATGCAAAATTGATGAGAAATGAGTGGAATAAGCAAGGAATAAAGTAAACAGGAATGCAGTCGGTGCTCTAATGGTATAGAAATGTCAGAAAATAGGACAGTTCATTCAAATTTTAGAGAAATAGTGTGAAATAAGCATGAACAGACAAAATTTAATGTCTGGGTAAGTCACAATCCCTCAAGGTCACGTTGTACTTTATGTAAACATTAGATCCCCTTTCTAAATAATTCAGAACATAAGGTATTCATTATGGTATCCATGGAATCTCATTCCTTTGCAAGTTGTTGCAACACAGATGGGATGGAATCAGAATAGCAGATATTCAGGAAGACACCTGGATGACCTTGATTGAAATAAAGATAATTCAGAATTCTAAAGCCATACTTTCTATATCCTGTGGTTCTTTTCTACCTTTTTATTTCAAGTTTAAAGCAAGTTCTTAGGGAAACAGAAAATGCCTCCTTTAAAATTCCTTTTGATGGTGATCATTTTCTAAAACACTTGAAATCTTTCAAGACTTCAGATGGATTGGATCTCTCTTGCATCAGATCTCTATGGTAACTAATAACTAGGAAACATGTAAAAGTGTTATTTTATTGCTGAAATCCTGAAATAAGGTTTGTTCTGTCAACCTCTTCCTCTATCAGTTAACTGCATCCCTCATGAAATAAAAGCTGTGTTGGATAATGGCTATATCACTGTTTTTCTGTCGAAAATTTGAAGGAGGTGATTTTCATGCATTTCAAAAGTTCATTTAGTAAACCATTTTATGTGTTCGCTACATGTGTATTCCTTGTTGGTCTTATTGTTTTACTCTTTATCTATGACGTTCAAAACTCAATAAATGATGATTTTTATCCAGGTTTACTATTAGAGATGTGGCGGAACAAATTGTTCCTGAACAGCATAGAACATACCTCTGATTTCCCCTAAGGGATATTGCATTGAACAATATCTAAATTAAATCTAGTCATTTTATGGGAGGATTAATATTGAGGACACATTCTTCATTACAACAGTAGCATTGAAGTTGCTTGTTGCATCATGGGTAATCTTTTTAACGTTGAACCTGAAGATCAAAATAATTTAGCGAGAATTAATTTCAAATCTGGTATGGAACAGGTGATAATATATTATAAGTTCCATTAGTGGCATCCTGCCATTGAATGAAGTTGCATTGTGGGACATTATGACCTTCCTTTGAAAAAGCTATACCCAAATATTTCTTATGTATACCTTAGATATAGATAAACTCATGCAAAGTCATCAATCATTCAAGAAATCATTCTTGTTTTCCAAATTGAATAAAGTTGCAGTATGGGTCAATCACTGTTGATCATTCATGTACCCGCTGGAAGTATTTCTAATAAATGAAAATGAAAGTGAAATTTTGTCTTATGGGATAAGCCAACCTCCTTTTTAGCATTAGCATGAACTTGGCATTCAAATTCACCAAGGAATCCTTCATATAACATTTCTTTATCATCAAGTTGATTTCAGTTCCAGACTTCCTGTACCTGATTAATTCATCCAACCAGTAACAACTTCCCATGTTTCTAAAATAAACCAATCAATGGATTCTGAAAGAAAGAAGGTCATTTCCCATGTTTCCCAGTATGGAGCATGGACTTGTTAGAATGGTTTGTGTGTATGTTGGATGTGATGGATCTTGGGAAGTGGGAGTTGATGCTCATTCAGTTAGATTTTCACCCAGGTGTTTTGACAGATGAAGATATGTTCTAGTAATCTGAGATACCTCAGAGATACCTGTAGTAAATCTTTTGAGTATACCATTGGCTAAAAATTCACGCATATTTCAATAATTTTTCTCTTAGATTTAAGCGTCTGTTTTTTTTATTGTATTTTAATATAATATAAAGTGTTTTACTAGATGTCTGTTTACTTTATTTTTATTGATCTTCATACTCTTTAATTTCAAAAACATGACTTATTCCATTTTTTGTCGGAGTTTTAGAAACTATTTGATTGGAAGCTGTGCTCTGTCTGCCGTCTGCTTGTCTCTATGCCATCTGCCTCTTTGAGCTCGATATTCTAGAAAAATCAATGTGATGTTATGCAATTCTTAACCAATGAAAAATGATCATGGTTTTAAATATGAATATTACAAAAAAGGTAATCAAGAATTACGTTTTAATGAGAGCAGGTATGTTTTAAAGAACCAATAATTGTAATGTTAATGGTAATATCAGAGGCAAAGTATCATACAAATAAATGAAAAGAAGGCCTAAAGGATAATAATAATTTAAAGAGAAAAAGCATAGCATATTCATAAAGTAAATGATTAAGATAGACATAAAGGATTAAGACAATCATTAAGATTCACGTTGAGACAGTTTAATACCTGAAGAAGTAAGTCTTCCAATATCGAGGTATCCTAACCTCAACAAGTTATCATCTTGGCTCAAGGTTTTTTTACTGAAAAATCGTCCCTAACAAAAATAGCAAAAGTTGTCTAAGTACAAGGATTTTACATTCAGGCAATACACAGCCCCAAAAGTTGGTTACTTGAATGAATAGGTTTTCCTTGAAATCAACTTATTTTTTAGTTCTGTGCATTTAACTGTATTATTATCGTAAACAACCTAAATGCCCCATGACATTTCATCTGACAGGGCATGATCTTTGAGAAAGTCCTTCATTGTGAAAACCCATCAAAACTCATCTACTCACTGCTTATTTATTCCAATAATTGTTTCCCTAAAATTTGTTTAAAGTACATGATTTTCTGGATTTTCGATATGATATCATATATACGTAGAGTGTTGACCTGGCCTGCCTTCCAAATTCCTCAATGATCATTGTTTCTCAGTATGTTCAACATCAAAGACAAATATTTTGGTATTTTTGCATAAAAATGGTCTGCCTCTTAGACACAACAGGTTATTGCTCTATTACCTAAAGACTTATGTGATTATCTATATGAGATAGTGAACTTAAAACTGCCAAAACTTAACATTTCTCTAGTGCTAATGTTAGGAGAAACAAGTAGGCAAAAAGCCAAGAACCATATCAACACCTATTTTATTAGAAATGTGGCAGAAGGTCAAAGTGAAAAATATGTATGTTGTTTGTCTGCCAAAAACAGCTCTAATTCTGAGGCTCTGAGTTATATAATCTTCACCTTTTTTCAACTCGTGGGTGTGGAAGTGTATAAATTACAAAAAAGTGAGCTAAGGATACTATGATCGACTGAACAGACATACATGACTTTGTTAGATTAGAGATTAAGCCGTTATGCTCCAACATGCACCAAACTTTGACTATCTAAATTGGATATTTATTCTGCCATTTTTATTACACCATGATTCATAGCCCTTTGGGGTCGGAAGTGGAGAACTCAGGATAATGTGAAAATTCAGTTAGGAGGGATCTTCATGCGTGTAGCTCACCTGAAAATAGTTCGCTTCATAACAAGGCAGGCTTGCATATAGAAAAGAGTGTTACACCAAACACAATGACATTTTAAAAGTTTAAAGAGATGCAAAATCTTGAGTTGAAAGGAAGTTAAAGGTTCAACCTGTTGACATATAAATAATTTAAAGGGGATTGGCGTGTCATACTTCGTATTACAAAGTACAATATAGTTTCAGATTAAGCGATAAGTCAATATGCTATTATAGACACAAAAAAAGAATTTCATCTTCAACAAATATTTGACGCTGCGGGGCGTATATGATAATCACTGATAAGTGAAATGGATAATAAACGATGAATATAAACAGAGAACTTATAATTTATGCAGAGTTGTATTTTACATCCTTGATACTATTGGATTAGATACCATAAACTTGATGCATATTGTGTATCAAAGAATGTTTAAAGAGGATTATGCTAATATGATGATTAATTTGTGAAGTAATTACGAGAGAGCACTGGGATTGTTACATATTTAAGAAAACAGTGTAAAGTCCAGAAATATGTTTTTAAAACTTGAATCATTGAACAGTTACAAATAAAAACTTGGTAATAGTGAAATAGGGAAAGTTTACATATAGCTTTAAAAAAGTTAATACATACATATACTTGTTTATAATTGTATTACTTTGTATGCATAAAGATAGCTTTTTTATTCAAAATGAAATAATAAAATGTTGGACTTTAAACTTTTGAACGCATAAATCTCAACTTCACAAACAAAGCCTTCACCGTCGCAATCTTCTTCACGGCTCCACGCAAATACAATGTTGTTCTCCGACAACATAAATAGGGGACCCATTGGACCTATATCGCACATGAATAGAAGTTCTGAGAGAATGACTTTGATGCAAATATCCAAAGCTATGAAAGTACTCAGTGTAAATCAAAGCTGGGATAAAAAGAAAACCAAACGGAAAAATGATGATGCTTCATCAGTCGAAAAGAAAAATGTAATTATTAATTGAGATTCGTGATTCTTATATGAAATATTAGGATGAGGCAAATGACTAGTTTGTTCTGTTACTTGCACAGCTTTTCAATGGATCTGTAAATCATAATGTTAAAGTAATCATGTTTTGAAATATTCTTACAGATATGTAGTTTATAAGTACTATGATGCAAGAAAATTAGGGACTCAATGCCATGCATGGAATATTTTTCATACATATTTCTTCAGGTTGCATATAATTGTTGTATCAAAAACAAGAAATTATGAGAAATGGATGATTTCTATATTCTCATCTTCAAATAGATTCCTTCTGTTTATCGATTCTTCTTTATGTTCTTTGGCTTCAACAAAATGACCTTCTTTAACCTTGATTTTTTTTTTGTTTATTCCAACTTGATCTGAAACCATATACCAGTCTGGAATGTTTTCTACACTTGATCTTTTCAATAGCCAACATTCAAGATTTAACCAAAAAACAATCGATTTGACACTAATACTAATATCGTATTTAAGATTTAATTCAATTGTTTATTTGTTCTATTTTCAGCCTCAACAGAAATACCTGCTTCCTGCCGTCCGTCATCAGGACATGAATAAAAAATGTGTTGTCATTGATCTAGATGAAACATTAGTACACAGCTCTTTCAAGGTATGTAGTCGCCTCCGTCTGCTGCAGTTTCATCTCATCATGCTTATTTTATATAATTTCTCTGTAAAATTTGGAAAAACTCTCTGATTTTATGACATTTCTGTATAATTTAGAGTGTTATTTATATGCTTGTTTATTTTTATGGCTTGCTGAGTCTAATTTTTATACTTTATTTTCTGTTTCAAAATATGACATTTTTTGATTGATGATGTTGAGGAAGAAATGCTTGGAAAATATAGTTGTTTTTTAGAAAAAAAAGATAAAATAGAAAAATGTGGCTTAAGTTAGTTTTTGTTCAAGCTTCTATACCAAGCGCCTATCTAATTCCTATAGGTAAGGTGTGTCCGGGGGAGGGGGGGGGGGTGGGTCTAAGCAAAATGAATTAGCAAGACAGGTTAACTGGTATATAGTTAATTCATGTACATGGACTAAGAATTGTAATGAAAGTAATAAAATGCAAGAAAAAATAGACACTCCATCCTTTTAGAAAGATTTGAAGGAGAGAACTCTTAACCAGAGAGAAATAATAGACACAAGGATGTAGGTTGAGTATCAGTAAATGTCATGTTCATTTTTTATGAGTTCTGATAATGTATCTTCTTCAGGGAATCAAGATTTAATGACCTAATACAGGATCAATCTATTTTGAGACTCAAAACATCTTTGAAACATCCACCTGAGTGAAGCATATTACTAGTTTGAAAAAAGAAAGATGTGATAAGTGTCAGAATGTGACAGATCGTGTTGCTTAGCAGAAATGAGATGTCATGGTTCATCATGATGGTTCAGTCCAAGAAAGATCACTGTTTCTTTGATTTATAAATCTCTTGGATCTATCACTGAGACCTTGAAGCTTGTAGTAATCACTACCTGGAGATGAATACGCTTTGCATTTGTTCGACTTCACTTTTTAAAAGAGAGCTTTGTCTCACTCTTCTTTCACTTTACAATAAATCTCTGAACACCAAGCCAGTCAGAGTTCTGATTGGTTGAGAAAAAATCAGCGTGATAGGTTTGAAATGAGAGTCTAGTTCATTACTCGACTCTGCCTGCTGGGTACCAGATGAAGCTCTTTAATTAAACAAGTGAAATCAAATGATTGAAAAGGGTAATTGCAACTTATGAGTATTCAACATCATGATAAACCATGATATCTCATTTCTTATCAGCCTTGTTTTAAGTGAAACAGAAAGATGTGACAAGTATCAGAATGCTATTCAGGGGTTTTAGAAATGTTGACATAACATGATACTGTACATTATTATGTCACCATAATAAGTGGTGACATATTGTTATAGTCTCAAAAATTTTGTTGACAGTTCAGATTTCTGTCTGTCACTTAAAAGGTCGTGACATTTTGTCATGTTAATGCCTTGTAGATATTTATGTTGAAATACTCACCCAGTTCTTGGATTTTGACTTGTTGGAAGTTGGTGTAGTTAATAGAATTTTTCCCAAAATATAATGACAAATTGCTGAATAAGATGGGCTATTGGCATTTGAATTAATTGTTGGTTTGCTGGCGTGTTCTGTTTTCTTACATCATACAGTTCATATACATGCATCATTATGTCATTTGTTCAATATTAAGTATCTAGTATAAAGTATCTATTTGTTTCCCTTCTTATGTGTTATTATCTGTCTGGTCTTGGTTTCTCTCTTTTCATGCTTAATCCATACTTTTTTCTTTGTTGACTTCATGCATGGTTACTTTACTTCTTGCTAATTTCGCTCCGTTTCACAGTATTCTAAAAATACCATTAATTGCCATTTGTATATACCAGGAGTGTCCATTAATTCCGATCATTGAATTGCCATTGAAAAATTGCTTTAGTGGTCATAATAGGAAATACCAAAAAATAGTACAGAAAAAGTGGAATTGTCAAGGAAAAAATGTGAATAGGCATGTATTTTATATGTACTCTATTATAAAATATATGGAATGTTAGTAAATTATGCAATTGTTCCTTTTTGAGAGAAAAACCATGGGCTAAACACTGGAGCACCGGGGGGGGGGGGGGGGATAAAGCCATTAAAATATATTGAATAAATCAGGATATTGAGTCAGGGAATATCCCCAGGGGAGTTTCAAAGAGACTAAACAGTTGCAAAATGTACAACTCTAGAGTTCAGTGATTAGGTAGCGAAATCTAAAAAATCCTGAATCTTAATTAGATAAGAGAAAATAAGATTGCCCTTCCTTGATAGAATGCTTGTTATGTTACTCGCTTGGTTCATTGGTCTTTTATCCCCCTCGTTGCTGATAATTGCCCTCCCTCCATGGTAAGTAGCCTAACGGTATATAGATAAATCACCTCCAATGACCTAGCTACCTGGAATCTTGTTTATCACACTGCAAAAAGTAAGAAAACAATGTAATGAATGTTAAATTGATGTTTATGAGCTCCTGTAAGTGAAATTGCAGTGGTCATATTTTCAAAATAATTCAAAATAAACAGTGCAATATAAGAAACCGACATGAAGTTGATGCTTTAAATTCTATAGAAATGCAGTACCAGAAATCAATCACCTTTTTAAAGAGGTTGATCTATAGTAATAATACTAGATTTCTGAATAAACTACCCTCTCTGTAGTGAACACCTACCAACACTGAACATTTTATCTTGGCAAAATAATGTTCAATATACACAGGTTTCACTTTATTGTATGTATTGATGAGTATTTTTGTAAACTTGAGGGTCAATGGCTAGACTAGCCCATCATCTCGACTGCAGAGCTGGGTTACTAGTGAAGCTATCGGCAAAAAAGCAAAATCAGACGATTAGAAATGGCTCAAGTCCCTTTTGTTTGTACAAAATCTGAGATCTAAATTGAAAAACGTGAAGATGGTGTAACAATTCTTATGTATCACATCTATGAGAAAATTGATCATGACAGTACAATGCAAAATGATATGAATTGTAAGGCAGATTTTTTTCAAACGGGACGTTTCAAGGTTATATTGGTAGTGTAATAAGATACTTTACTGCCTATAGTACATGTAGGTTCTTTCTATTGGCTACATGTCAAAATTCACATTTCCTTTGTAAAAAACTTATTTTTGCAGACATGTTGACATTTTCAATATTTACTAAATATTCTTTTCACTTTGACTTTTTACACCAGTTAGAAATAATATTGACAAACTTGAAGTATAATAGTGCTTTAGAAAAGAAAGTGTTTGCTAAATAGCGTAAGAGATTGGATTGTTACAACACTCAAAGCTGAAAAGTTCTTCCTCCTCACAATTCTTAATTAACTAATTTATAAAACTTGTCTTGCACTTTTAAAATACTGAGCTTTAAATCTCTCTTGAATTTTAGTAATCAGATGGAAACAGTTCCTTTGTTTTGTCTTCCTCATTACTTGGAATAAAATGCTCCATCAATCTCATAGTTTGCCTTGTCAAAATATCCGTCTGCTAACAAATATTCTACTCTATTTTTTTCTAAAATTTGATTAATGTTTCTTATTTTCTTGTATTTCCATACAATTTAAAGTGTTGACTATATGTCTGTTTACTTTTTTCCTCAGTGATTTTGGTATTTTCCACCTTATTTTGCATTTAAAAATGTAACCATCCCGCCAATTTGGTCCCAGGTTTCTAATCTGTGTTAGACTCTGTGTAGTGTGCAACTGTCAGCCCTGATCATCATATAAGGGTAAAAGACGTCATCATTGGGATGATCTATGACTTTAATTTGTTATGAACGTCAGATCCTACTCAAAATGATCTATTCATAAAACATATCGTAAGATTTTTATGAGGAAATGTTGCGTTTGTGTTGTTAATCATAGAGACAATATATATTCTATTGTCTGCCGAAAAGACTATTGCTCTATTATATGTTGAAGTCAGCTATATGATTTTGCTGAAAAGGCAAGCTATTACCAAAATTGATAGACCAGAACAGCCCCTGCTCCTTATATTCTACTACTATCTCAAGGGAAGTATTAATTATAAAACAAAATAGTTCATTCAATTAAATGATATAAGGGAAGGTGTGAAGGGGAGGGGCATTCACAGATTTTCCTGATTGAGTTCCCTGGTAGATTATACACTTTGTTCTCACACTTTGATTATTAAAAAATATTGGCACCACTCAAGGCCTTATCAAAACAATAAAACGAACAAGTAATAGCAATTCAGTGATCTCCACAGGACTTTTTCTCAAGTGGGTGCAAAATTCTCATTTTCACAATTCAGGCTAAAATTGGTTTAAATATGCCAATTTTTCATGATTTTTCTCATTTTGAAGTTGATGCAAATGGATTTTCAGGTCGGTGCAAGCCTATTTTCAAAATCTCAGGTTGGTGCTGTGCCCACTTGCTTTAATGCTTGGGAGATCGCTGCAATTTGAAATGCTCACTTCTGTCATTACTTTGAAGTGTTATTCCTGGTTTTCGTCCTTGTGTTTTTATTCCTTTCTTACGTGATAAAGCTTTTTATACACTAAAGCAAATGAAAGAGCATTCTTGTCGACACAACATTATAAAACAGACTACTTGACTTTTCAGCAAATGATTAAGTAACCATTGAGTTGTTAGCAACAAAAGTATGCCACCTACAAATAAAAATGTCCGTCTGCTCATACTTATTTTACTCTTTTTCTCTCTTAAATTTGAATGAAGTGCTTGATTTTCTTGCATTTCTATACAATTTAGAGTGTTCATTACATGTCTGTTTGCTTTATTTCTTGCTGATTTCACTCTTTTTCACTCTATTTTGCATTTTAAAACATGACCATCATGACATTTTCACTGTGAAGATCAAGTCTGCAGACAAGAGATTTGATCTTACATGTAGTAACTCTATCCATGATAATGTCATCATAACATAATATTTGAAATGTTCAATTGAAAACACGAGAAAAACACATCCTGCGTCATATGTCTGAGATTCTACCTCCTAACCTCCTTCTAACTTCCCAATCAGAGTTTTTTTAAAATCCTACCTTCTATGATTACTTTAGTCTTGTACCAACCAGATGAGAATGTGAGAATACCCTGCATGCAGAGTCTAGTTATAAATGAAGCTCTCTTTTAAGAAGCAAAGTCAAACGAATGCAAATGATAATGTTAGAAAGGGAATGGAGGCAAAATTCACTTATACTGGAGTTGTTAACATGGAGAACGGATGTCCAATTTTTTCTGATATTAGCCCTATTACTTTTATATGTACCTGTCTTGTATTTCAAACTTGATTTAGATGGAAGTCATAGTGATCAAGAATGTCAAAGTGTCTTGGGTCTCTTACAAACCTTAATTACAGCTAGAGTCAATAGTCATGATAGTTGTGGCAACCTAATTGATTTCTGATCTGTATGAAGGTCAGGATGTCTTCTTCATACTCTGTATTTTCATCAACAAAAATAGTTTATGAGATAATATTAGATAAATTCCTAAGAGAATTCTACCCTATTTTGGGATGTTTTCTTTCAGAAATATAATTCTAGGAATTTCTATATTATTGATGTTATAAGATATTCCCTTTGCACCCACATTTCTCTTGGGTTTTTACAAAGGTTCATTTTCGCATTATGATGGCCACATCTTTCAGTGTTGAACCGGAGGAAGTTGGTTGAAATTAAGTTGATGGTTGTTAATACATTTATTACATACAGTTTTTATTTTTATTTTCAGGTTATTACAGTTTCAGCTGATATTTGACAATGATCATAAATTATTCATGTTACAATATTTTTACTTCTAGTGTCTAATCAATTTGTAAAATGCCACAAAAACCAACAATGGTCTATTTACTGTAAGATTATAAATGATTTTTTCTCTGTTTGCAGCCCATTAGTAATGCAGACTTTATAATACCAGTAGAGATTGATGGTACAATACATCAGGTATGTAGACCAGTTACCATGGCGATGGTGCAACGCATCTGCACAACATTTTCTCCAAATCATTAAAAATTCTGTTATATCTTAATTGCTTATAAACTCTTAGATAATACAAAGGCTGTATAATATATCCTGGTATTAACCCAGTTTACCTCACATTGATTTTTTAGAAATATTCTCACCTGGAATCTGCAGGGATAGAGGCTAAAAATCAAAAAAAATTGAGACATTAGATTTTTTCTTCAAAATGATATGCCAAACCTTTGAGGAAAATAGCCTTCAGAGCTCAAAACAAACCCTCAGTCTCCGCCCCCCCCCCCATTCCTCTCTCTGAAGAGCATATATGATATGAACTTGTATAATCTTGCATTGAGTATCTTGAATACCCCCCTCCTCTCTCCCACCCCCAAAACCTTATAATGAGGGAGGGGGTAGCAACGGCAAGGGTAACATAGACATATTTAAGACATTGGATCTAGCTTTTCACTCCCTGTTCTATCTTCGATTTGAAAACATGGTCATCCTGACATTAGTTTCATCAGACTTTTGTGAATGGAACAGATCGTTGATGTATTTCCCAGAGTGGCTAATTGATAAATTATGTATTCTAGTGTTCTTGTTTTATCTTCATTTATTCAACAAAACACAATATCATGTTTTATACATGTATAATACCATAATAAGCCAGAAAATAAAAAAAATTTGTGAAGCTTGTAACTGAACCATATTAGACAGGTTCCAATTTCAGAATATCTCAAGGGAAAGGGTTTTTGAGGCATTTTTTAGAAAAAGCAACAGAGCTATTTTTTCTGGATCAGTTTTTCATGCTGATAAAGATATTAAAAGATGACAGCTCAACGGGGTGGTCACGACACTGAATTTTAGCGTTTTTACCCCCCCTAGGGAATTATTTAAGGGGGTACTATAATATTAGTTCATAACTCAAAGGATATATAAACTATTGTTCTGAGTTCTACAGCATACATTGTTAGTACAAAGATGAATACTACCCTAAAGTTATAGGTTGATATCTTTGTTGGTTTCGGAAAAATACAATTAATTAGAAAAAATATGCAATTTTTGTCATTTTTTTCTTGCTTATTTTATATTTGTAGCTTCAAGCAAATTATGATAACTTAAACAGCTCAAAGTAGTATTCTAACAACATTCCCAAGCTATGTGTGATATTGTAATACATCTATTATAGTGATGAAGTACTATTTTGTAATTTTAATATGACTTTATAGTGCCCTACCCCTGGTAAATAGAAGAAAGTTGGTGTGGTTTTCTTCTGGTTTTAACATTTTATTGTCTTCTTAGTTGAAGATACAATCAATTCTGTCAGTTAACCATGAGAAACTTTACAATGGTTAATTATTCCCATGAATAGAGGGTTGGGACCTCAAAAATACCAGAACTGTTAAGTGGCATCCTTGGGCAACCCTCTTCAGAGCATTTTCCTTATATCATCCGATAAAATCTGCAGGGGACACTATAAGAAACCTATATATCTAAGATACTAGTAATGAAGATACTGAATTCAAATTTTCAGGATTTGGTCCTGGTATGATAGGTAATCTGTATGACAAAAATGACAAAAAGAAAAAACTCTGTTGCCATAGTAACAAGAATACAACACTATTTGTTTCCTAAGAAATGTGTTTTAAGAGGTTTTGTCATTCTCTTCATATTTTTAATTCTAAATATGTCTACAATGTGGGATGATTAAAATTATGGTAAAGTAATCTTTTCTATTGTTCTATTGTTCTCTAAAACAGAAGTTGCTACGCTCTATTTGTCAGGAAATTAAAATGGAAACTGAAAAATGAGTTTCTTCCTACTGAATAGCAATTTGGTAGACCAAGGCTGACACGCACAGGAGAAAACGTCTATCAGTTCTATGTCATTTTGTTGTTATTTTTTTTTATTTATCGTGCTCTAGGACTTAAAACACCTAATGCCGAATCTTTTCCAACTGCAAAGGAAGGCAAGATTTTAATAATGAACATTCATATATCTCAAATATCTCAACAAAGATTTGGACAATGATGATGAAACTCTAAGGGAAAATTAGACGAAACATTAATGTGAGTGGTCCAAAAATAACACTTACATGTTTTGAAAAAGTTATGCTCTCGGGTGAATCAGTGCTCATTTAAGGATAGTCTGAATCAGGTGAATTTTTTAACCTAATTGTACCCCTCCCCCAAACCCCAAAATTTTGACAATTGTCGAGAAGTGGCAAACAACAATTAAACAAACATCATTAAAGTTCAATATGGCTATTTCGCTTCTCTGTCATAAAGATATGGTAAGATCTCAGGTCAATCAATAAATTTCACAAGTGACACTCTATCTTATGAAGAAAATATTATCGTATTTGAAGACATGTCAAAAATTTGGTTGAAATAATTTTGTCACTCCTGATTTGACCTGGAAAGGTTCGGGTAAGTTATCACAAACAATTTCAAACAGTTATATCTTTGATTATGACTATTTTCTGACCATGAAGACAGGTATACAGGGATAATAAAGTCAATCGGACTATTTTTTCAAAGTTGTTGACCTCATTTTCACCAAAAATGCAATCATTTTAACAATGTTTAATGCATTACTATTCTTCATTTTAATGTATCAAATACCTCTTGAAAAGAAAACTGAATTCCCCTAAGATAAGTGTTCCCCATGTTATTTCCCCTTTGAAAAAATTCATGCAATCATTGGTTTCAGTTCATTTTGGTCATCCAAATTCAGTGTCTTTAAAGTCCCTGGAGCAATCCACTTTTCCTCTTAGGAAATAGAACATGTCTCAAAGCATATTCTAATTATGCATTCAACAATATAATTAAAGGTTGCATCTTTGGTAAAAAATTAGGTCAACATTTTTAGTAAAAAGTATGTTGATTGGGCCATTCCCTTTAATATCACTTAGGTCTGATTAATCATTATATTTACTTTTCTTGAAGATAATGAATATATCTAAAAGATATACCCATGTTCATGGTCAGAAAATATTCATAATTCAAGTTAGAATTGTCTGAAGTTGTTTGCGATAACCTACATGCTCCTTTATAACATTATTATGTAAATACCTGTGTAAGTGGAACACTCTCCGTTCTGCGTTCCACTTAGAAGATGTTTCACTTACAGAGGTTTTGGGTTCACAGGGAACATACAAAATCAAATATAGGATTTATATGTATCATTGGAAATATGATTCTCCCTTCATTACAGGGCAGGTATATACCATTAATAATCCATTTATTTAACTCAAAAAGGTATCTGACATTCTTAATCCTCCTCATTCTGCCAAAAATGTTTTCTGATATTCTTAATCCTCCTAATTGTGCCAGTCTCAGGTACAAGGATTAGGCAATTAAGTTTTAAAGACTTGTTCCTACTGTTAATAATTCAATTGTTTTTAAATGACATTTTTAATCTTACTTGTTAAGTTTGAAACAAACAGCAAGGGATATTAATTAGTGGTAGCATCACGTGTCCAGTTCTACAGGAGGTTAATCCAATTTTCTGAATGAAAATCTTATGAAATCTTAATTTGCTGATAATCAAATTAATTATTGGTTGCATCACATGTTGACCTCTACAGGAGGTTAATCCATTAAAATCCATTAAAATCCTAATTTGCCAATTATCACAGTATTACCTGTTTTCATACCCAGATATCATTGAAGGAGATTAATTCTGTTTACATATATCAATATTGAAATCTATGGAAATTGACTATTCCACTTAGCAGGTTAATTTTTCAATATTGGGTGTTCACTGTTCAAGTTTGGAGGTGTTCCACTTACAGAGATTCAATTAACATTAAGTCAATGGGTTTTTAAAACGGGACTTTAAAAAGGCGTTCCACTTGGGAGGTGTTCCACTTACAGAAGTGTTCCACTTAGCAGGTTCTACTGTACATTACTTGTGCATGATGACCACCATAGTCTAGTTGCTCAAATGAGATCAATTGATGATTATAATGTTTAGACTTTATGTCAATGTCAAGACTGTATGCCAACCTCTCTAGTATGTGATTTCACTAGATTTCATTATGATACATGTACTTAATTGAAAACTTACATATAAAATATCTTAAGTCCTATATTCTAGTAATAAATGAATTAGAATGTCACCTAACACTTGATGATGGTATGAATTTATTGATTTGATGTCTATCAATACATGTTTCTAACTTAATGCTGCATAATGATAAAATTCACCACATCCACTTTCTTCAATTTTCCAGGGGTAGGGCACTATAAAGTCATATTAAAATTACAAAATAGTACTTCATAACTAAAATAGATGTATTACAATACCACACATAGCTTAGAAATGTTTTTAGAATACTACTATGAGCTGTTAAAGCTGTCATATTGTGCTTGAAGCTACAAATATAAAATTGGCAAGACAAAAATTGCGTATCTTTTTCCTGTTTTTTGTATTTTTCTGAGACCAATAAGGGTATCAACCCATAACTTTAGGATAGTATTCATATTTGTACTAGCAATGTATGGTGTACAACTCAGAACAATAGCTCATATATCCTTTGAGTTATGAACTAGTTTCATAGTACCCCCTAGAATATTTTCCTAGGGGGGTAAAAATGCCAAAATTTAGTGTCGTGACCACCCCGTTGAGCTGTCATCTTTTAATATCTTTATCAGCATGAAAAACTGATCTAGTAAAAATAGGTCTGTTGCTTTTTCTAAAAAATGCCTCAAAAACTTGAATTATTTGAATTGGAACCTGTCTATATGCATATATTCATGATTATGTGTGTGTTAGAAAGTTCATCAGATGAACATTTTGCTTACTGTTATGTTCATATACCATCCCATCCCATTAGGCCTATTCTATCCATTTTCTGGATCAAAATAGAACACCATTATCTTACATGAGTTTGCATACCATTAGGGGTATGAGACTCTCATTTGGGAAAAGAAAAACTTCTCTTGTTAATGAATGACTACATGGCCTAAAGATAGTATCATTTTCCAATTCCTTAATATGATTGCCTTTTATCAAAACATGACTACTTATATTTACAAAATGTATGTGCATATCCTGCATTGTACATATTCATAAAAGGGACTTTGCAGCACAAATAGACATGCGACTTAATGTTTTGAAGGCTTAATTTGACAATTTCAAACTCAGATATTCTTTGACTTTTGGTTATACAAGAGCTGACGTCTGTTGTTCATCTTAAAATTCACCTAGCCATGTAAAGTGCAAAAAAATGTTTTCCTCAAATTCAAAATGATCTTTTGCCAAGAAATCCATTTGATTGGGATTCGAATTAGCCAATGGCAAGTCTTTTGAGGACACGAATGTATTGAAAGGTGTTATTGCAATGTGCACCAAAAACAAACTGATTGTAAACTACAGTTTTGTGCTTGGATAAATTGACCAGACCATAATGACTAAACATCTTGTCCATGTAGAAGCTCGGATGTTCTATACCAGATAGTAAAGTGCCAAAAAATTAAGATAAAAGTTCATATGTTGGATTGGTTTCAAAAAATTTCATGTAATGTTTCATTTTTCTGACAGGAATGCAAATGTCATGAGCAGGTCAGGTCTCACATTTGGAACATAAACTTAGCAAAAGGCATTCTTCATTTTTTCTTCACAATTGAATCCAGTAGTAGTAGGCATTGAACCAGTTATGATATAGTTTGTTCAGATAGGGACCTTGATAAACCTTATTATTATTGCAGGAGTTGTCTCTTCACACAAAGTTTTGATGTTACGATTTTTATTAAAGTATTACATACCGTAATATATTATCATATACATGACAAACGTTTTTCAATGACATAATCATAATTTATGATGTTATTTTTGTTGCAGGTGTATGTGCTGAAAAGGCCGCACGTTGATGAATATTTACAAAAAATGGGGGAGCTGTTTGAATGTGTCCTTTTTACGGCCAGTTTAGCCAAGGTGAGTGTTGTAATTAGAGATGTCATGCATTGCTGACATAAGTGATGTCAGTAAAAGTTGTCATACTTGACAATGATGGACAGGTCCTCTTATCTCTTATCATAGAGAAGTGGCAAAATAATTTACTTCATTTTCTGTAGTAAACTAAGAAATAACTATTTCTATAACTTGAAGAGTTAAAGAGCCAAAATGACTATCTCTCTGAGTTAAATAGATCAATGAATTGAAAAGGAGCCATATACTCCAGAAATCTGTTCTATGTGCCAAATACCATTGGTATACTTAATTAATGCTTAGATAGGAATGTATTAATGTTTGCATGTGAAATACCCATATGTTAATATAAATATGTGAGACATATATGACCATCTCCATAAAATGGTAGAGGAGCTAAAACAAAATGTGCTTGAGGTGATATAGGCACAGACATTCTATAAAAGAGATTATCGTATGATCTGTAAAATGAAGCCCTCTGATTGGTCAGTTCTTGTGCTGTACCAACCTGTATTGCTACTGAGATTGTCTCCGTTGATGATCTCCGTCGGAATACAGAAAATATTGGTACGGAGGGGACAATCTCAGTAGCAATACAGAAGATCACACGATAAAAACGTTATTGAATGATTTGAAGTGCAATACAGGATATATTCTGTCTCGATATTCTGTATTGGCACTCGACTTCGTCTCGTTCCAATACGGAATTCTCGAGCAGAATATATCCTGTATTGCACTTCAAATCATTCAATAACTTATATTATTCCATAATACTACTGTTTTCCCAGGGAAATATGAAGGAATAAAAATTGTATTGAATCGTATTACATGAAAAAATCGTATTGTCCCCGGGAAAAAAATCATATTGGAGCGTATCACATGAAAAAATCGTATTGTCCCCGGGAAAAAAATCGTATTGGAACGTACTAACCTATTTTTGGTTTTCCTGTTATTTTTAACCTTAGCTAATTGATAAAAGCTTTTTCAACATGTAACATTTTAGAGGAATGTATTATGGAATAAATAGGTTATTTCTGGTCGGGATTGAATATGGGTTTCATTCCTCGGAAAATATGATATTGACCTTGGGAAATATGATATTGACACTCGGTCGCTGCGTTCCCTCGGTCAATATCATATTACCCTTTGGTCAATATCATATTGTCCCTCGGAATAAAACCCATATTCAATCCCTCCCAGTAAATAACCTATATATATTGCCTCCTTGGCATTCAGATTTATCAGAGTCCTTCTTTATCTAAGCTTGGTAAAAATAGAGGCAGTGGAACCCACATTGTTTTTCCCCTGGGGAATAAACATGATTAGATGGGGTATGAGTCAACGCAGGACTTTCACTTAAACTGGAATTTTTTGTATCATGTGATTGTTGCAAATGATGTCATCGTATTATTAAAGGCCCCATGTAAAGTTTAAACCACTTTGGCTTATATTGTAGTCTTACCCAATGTTATCAAAGTGTGATATGTGAAACTTTTTTTTTTAATTTCAAAAAGTGGCTTTTGATAGACTTTTTGTTCCAAAATTTGTGAATTTATTTAAAACCAACTTTTAGAGGTCACTCATATCTTCTAATTAGCCACAATTCATACCAATGCATAGCATACATCCTCCCATGTTTTTTGCCGAAAAAATTAAGAAAATTGGTTGATAAACAAGCGAGAAATGAACTTATCAGTGCATGACAATGGTTCTGAGAAAAATGCATTTCAAAATTTTAGTTCTCATAGAAACCAATGGTTCAATGATATCTAAAACATAATTTATTCTTCCTTTTAACCTGGTTAGACAATCAACATTGGTTTTTTATGAAAGTCTAGCATATTTAGAAAAGATTGACATCGAAAAAAAAATTCAATTTTTTTCAAAAAGTTTTTGTTACCTTAGTGACATCACTAATTTTGTTACCTTAGTGACATCACTAATGTTTCAAAATATTTTTGATAAGCTAAAACATTGAAGTGGCCCATTAAATATGACATTTTATTATTGAAATAATGTGTCTTTTGTTCGATCTTTGCATTGGTGTTAAAAATATAATCTTTTTTGAAATGCATTAAGAAATATTTGATGATTAAGAAATTTCAAAAAAATGGCGGGAAATTTGAATATTTGAGAAATGAAATGCTCACAACTTTTTTTTCAAAAAAAATTTTTTGTTCAAAAATCTCTAAAATCACTTTTTAAGTCCTGACAAATAGTAAATGAATGATAAAAAAATATTTTGAAACTTTAGACGGGGACTTTAATGTTATAATGCCTGCATCGTAAGCCTGATGTTGATGGATTGTTATAATTCAGTGATACGCTACAATATTACGAAATTGCACCAAGAACTATGACTCATAGTCTCATACACAGGCAAATTACATCAGGCCCCATACGAGCTCGTGTACATATGCCTAGACATTTTTCAAGTCATCCCTGCTCCATTCTTTTGTCTATAATTTGAATTAATTGAACAAACAGAAAACCACTCAAAAAGTTCTTATTCAGTGTTCTCCCCTGAATTACTTCCTTCAAGCTTGACCAAAATTGTTCAAGAGTTCCATGAGAAGCAAGTGTTTTAATGCCAGGTAGTTAGGTGTAGTTTTATTCATAGCTTTATATGTATGATTCATATATTTCAGTATGCTGATCCAGTGTCGGACCTATTGGACACATTTGGCTGCTTTAGAAGTCGCTTGTTCAGGGAATCATGTGTCTTTCACAGAGGGAATTATGTAAAGGTATGTCCCAATATAGCAACATGTATATTCTAGGAGTGAATTGAACAAACTTCTATTTCACTCCCCCCAGTTTTCTGCAAGTTAAAATGCTCAATTCTGCAAGTGAAATTAGTGAATTCTGCAAGAAGAAAGGGCTAATTCTGCAGAAATTCCGCGGATATTCGCGGCATTTTTTTATATAATATAAATAACTGTTATTAATTTATGTCTTTGTTTAACTTTCTGACGAGAACCGAAAGAAAAACTAATGGTTTTCGAACCAGTAAACGGGAAAATATCGTGATAGTCAGGTAGTCAGTCACTACATACATGCTGCCATCTAACGGCAGAAATCAAACGATGGCGTTTAGAATTTTCACTTCGCATAATTTGGGTTATTTCTGCAAGGGATTTGACTGAAAACGTGTCAAATTGTTACAGGTAAGACTGACTTTTTAAACTTTTGGAAAATATATGGATTCTGCGGAAAATTCTGCGGAAATTGACCAAAATAGTTGATTCTGCAATTCGGCGGGCAGAGGCAAATTCCGTCCGCGCTCTGCAAACACGGAATCCTGGGGGCAGTGTAAATAACTCACAAAACAAAAAAGATATTCATTCAGTAATCTGTAAGAAATAGAGTATGATAAAAACCTTCTTTTCTGTCTTCTGTCTAAGCCGAGAGTTCATACAGAACAGGGACAAAATTACAAATCTGCACAAAAATGATTATACCATATACTTAATTTAATGACTGAATTTTAAGCTTATCTAAGCCACCGTGTGATCATGTGAGTGGCTTACTGATGTCCAAAAAAATAATTTTAGACATATACTGAAGTGTTCAATTTAGATACTAGCCTTCTTATACATGATTTGTATTCTATGATATTTTTGTATATATACGTACCTGGTATAAATATTTTATATTTACATTCTCATGTTTCAGGATTTGAGTCTTCTTGGACGTGATTTGAGCCAAGTGGTTATAGTTGACAACTCGCCAGCCTCTTACATCTTCCATCAAGATAATGCAGTAAGTTTAAGTCACCAGATTGAAGAAAATGTCATCTAGTGCAAAAAATTGTCACTTTTGCAAGAAATGGTCACCTGGTAGAAGAAATTGTCACATGGTAGAAGATATTGTCACCTGTTGGGGAAATTTCACCTTGTGGTGAAAAATTGTTACCATTTGAAGAAAGAATTTCTTGAATATTATAAAATGTCAATCAATTATTTCTACTCAGATTTTTGAGACATTTGGTGCTTGCAATTAACATCAAATGCCAGGAAAGTTGGTTAGGCCCTATGAAATTGAATTCCTGAGAGACAAACAAAAGATACTAAAAATGAGGGATTTAACCATGTACAGTGCCAAACTTGACTTGTTTGCTTATAATCTATTTCATAGTACCTATCATATGGCTGATTGCAATGCAATAAGTGTGAAAGCATTTGTGTTTATATTCCCTCCCTCGTATCAACTTGAATAACAATATTAATAATCATTGATTGATTTATTCTGAATATTTATTGTCTGATCTGTTTTGTTTAAGCTTTGTGTCTCCCGAATTGTTGATGTAACATTTTGAGGTCATCATAACATGGACTCATTTAGTTTCTTGATATCCATATTTTTTGTATTTTTGAAGTATTTAATTTCCTGTTGATACCCGAAATATTATAGACATATTCTACATTCTGGAAACTAGGTCGCTTGATTCACTCAAAATTCTAGCCACCTATCACAGCATATATACAGATTTCAGTTTCTAGATCCTCACTATTAATTCATTGACCCTGTTCTCTTCTGTTTCTAGGTACCCGTGGCCTCATGGTTTGATGACATGAATGACACAGAATTATTAGACTTGATCCCATTCTTTGAAGGACTTGCAAAAGTGGACAATGTCTACACAGTTTTAAGGAACATAAATAAACCAAACAGCCAGAATAATAACCCAACTTAATGTTGATGAATGGTGCTCAATGGACTACCACAAATACTATGTGAACCCACTATGCTGTGTGTGCACAGCGGTGCATGTACAGCCATGTATGGACAGAACATACAGTCGTGCATGTACAGCCGTGCATGAATCCTCATCACATCACAACACTTGATTTCAAACTCATTTGTCATCAACTGATTTCAACTCATTCATCAAGTGATTCTTGATCATTATGACATCATCATTACATCATCGACAATTGATTATGCTTCGTAACATATTCTTGATATGAAGTTTCAAGAGAGATATCGGAGATCACGCTGGACTAAATTAATCAAGATTTTAGTGCTTCAAACACCATATATGGTCATCGATTCTTAAGTTCCTATCTATGTATAACACAAATAATTTACCATGGACTGTGTATCTTCGACGGAGCATTTATGACTCGTGGTTGGCTAACCTTGCTCACAGTATATTACAAAGTGATTCAGCGTGATTTAATGTGATTCAGCGTACAATGCCCGGTGCATTATGAAGGATGATGTATATAAACTGATTGGAAATACTGCGCACATAAGGAAAAAGAGAAACTAACTAGAGGATCTAGAAACTAATTATGGGTCTAGATGGAAATGGAAATCTAGATAAAGGAGGATCTAGAAACTAACTAGGGCAAAGTCTATGTGATCGATGTTCAAAGTAATGTACATACACAGAGCTGATTGAGATAGATTGTGTGATGTTATATGTATTTATAAATAATGATACATCAATCTTTCTCTGCAAATATTATTTCATGCCTTTTTGTAGTAAAATTTAAATCATGAACGTCAGATTGAAAAATTCCTGTTTGTTTACGATTCTATTTTTGCTATGGAAAGGCGTGATTATTTTAATGTGAGACGTGGTTGGATTGTTCAACACATGAGATGCAACTGAAGAAAGTAAACCCTTTATGAAATGTCATTGTGGTCATGTTTTGACGTGTAAAATAGAGTGAAAAAGAGTGGAATCAGCAATATAACACTCTAAATTATGTAATAAAGCCAGGATATCTGGTGTTACTTCAAAGAGAGAGGAATGTGGAGAAATACTGACCAGTCGGATCAGCGATGTTTTGAATAAGGGCTGAGAATATGTTGTCAGGGATAGGGAAGGTCTAGCTCAGGAAGGTCATGGTAATTCTTGTAGAAATATTAGACTCATGATAATCTAGTATACATTCTGTATATCTTATAGCTTGATTAAGTTAGGCAAACTGGTATGTTTCTCAAAAATCATCATGAATTTAGAGATGCATATTCACTTGTTTTATACAATGATGCTATAGTTTCATCATGGAAGACAATAGAAACGCAGGAATCATATTCTACGATGTTTTTGAGAATCAAGCCCCAACCTGATTTTATCCTTGAATTTTTTACATGTGTACACAGATTCATAATATTCATACGTTTTTAACTGTATCATGAGAAATCAGGATTACAATAAAACTATAAAATAAAAATAGAAATGCAGGAAAATTAGAAATTTTAAAAAGAAATTTGAAGTGAAAAAGATGATTAGATCTAGAGAGTTGAACTCTGAATTTTGGTATTAGAATTGTTGATCTTTACAAGTTTTATTGTATTTGTTCTCTTATATTCAAACTTTAAACTGCTTCAGGAACTTTGCACCATATTAAGGCTTAAATACCAACTTTGCCAAATAATTCTTCCAATGATTACAACATTACACATAACTATACTATACTGTGTTGGTCTATATTAAAATGCAAACAGAAGATATTTTTATCGAAAAATATATACTTTTGCACATTCTAAATTTTAAATCTTAACTATAATACTTCATAAACTTATACTGACATTTATATAGTGTATCATATGTTTTTAATAAAAGAAAAATCAAGAGTGTATTGATGCTCTAGTTTTGGCATGGAGAACATCATAACACAAGTATAACGGATGGAATTATTAAAAAATGGGTGTTTATTACTCAAGTATAATACTGTAAAGTGGAGACCAGTTATTACAATGAAAGAATGCCATTAATTAGACTTCAATGCGTGTTTAGAAATCTCATGGCTGATTTGGATTTTCTGTGCAAAATTGAGTGGTAGAACTGTGATAAAATATTGCATCAAAAATTTGATTTAGATGAAATTCAGGGAAATGGTGAAATTCTTATGAAATCCTTCATCTCATATTCAAAATGTTCTTACATTTCTTTACAATATTTAGAGTGTCAAGAAAACCTATTTATTCCTTGCTGATTCCACTCTTTGCCACTCTGTTTTGCATTTTAAAACATAAACTGCCATGACGTGTCTTTACACAAACAAAGCCCTGCACTTGTAAGATCAGGGTATTGTATAAATTATGTGCCTTGAAATGGTTTTTGAAAGACCCTGATGTAACTCTCCAGGTGACCATTACAGAATGTAATATTCATTTTCTACAATTCATGAATGTATAGTTTTCTCCCATCATGAAAAATCTAGAGACAATTCAAAAAGGTATTTGGGAAATGACCTTATATGGACAACCAGAACTATGGATTGAGGTATTTAGGCAACTAATAAAGGAGTTTAGGCAACTATGGAGTTTCAGTGACAATAGGGAAAATAAGTCAGGGGTTTTCTTAGCTACATGAAATGACTGCCATCTAAAATGTGTGACTCCTGAAAACATAAATGAAGCTCATTTAACAGAACTAATGGCAATTTAAGTGTTTGGTACATAGTTTTGATTGTCCATTTTGGTCCTAGTTGTTCCTTTAAAAATTATTTAAGAATATCAAGCCCCACGATTGACTAACAAGGTATGGCAAACCCTGATTCGATATGTAATAACCAAAAGCCAATATTATATATGACCATAAAAGTGATTTGGTCATTAAAAAATGAATTTGTACAGATGCAATATATTGATGTATATTTTTATAACAGAAGTGAAGCATAAATACATGTTATTATATATAGAGGTAATTATATACATATGATATGTAGAAAGTTGCCCTATATTGTAAAAGAGTTGTACATTAATTGAAAACTTGATTAGTTCATTAAAAACAATAGCAAGAGAATTTATCATCATATCACCCAATTATGTTTGCATTTAGCTTAGATAACTTACTCATTTTCTTGATTTAAAGGACCTGTCATATTTAGGGGATTCGAGGGACATGTCATGTTGTAATATATTGGGAACATTCTTCACAATATAAGGAACCTGTTATTTTTTGTAAAAGAAACAGGAACTTGTCATTCTGTACAATATCAGGAATATGTCATTCTGTACAATACCAACAATTGGTCATTCTATGTACAATACAAACAAATTGTCAATATGTACATTACTGGAAACCTGTCATTTTGTAGAATAGATGTCCTTGTTCCTACATCATTGTAATATTAGACATATTTTACTTTACCGTATTCATTACCTCATCCTTATCTTTTATTGATTTTAGTAGAATTTAAACCTTAGATACTATTAACTACTCTACCTAAAAATTAAGACATGTATTTATTTTTATTTTGATGTTGTACAAACAACCCATTCAGAATTATCCAGGCTTTATGAAACCATCACACTTTATGCTCCAAGCTTTTAAAAGAATTACAAAATAAACTGTCTTAGTGCTGTTTAGGAACCAGGTCATTATTCTGATAATGTTTCAAAATTAAATTTTGAAAATGAAATACATTTCAAAATTGAATCTTCACCCTGCCCAAACATTTAACTGAACTCATTAATTATGTCTGTTGGCGAACATTGCGATATTGACCTGGTCGTTTAAACTAGTATAAATGAATTAACTTTGTAAAGTAGAAAACGTTCTTGACAAAAAGTATTGAAAATAGGCTCATTACTTCAGTATGTTGTTTCCAATGAACATTAATAACGCTAAGATAACTATGTGAAATTACGAAGACTGATTGTGGATACAGAATATAAATTAGGCTTAAGTTTTTAATTATTTGATTAAATCTAATAAGTGTGAACCAGATAGTTAAATACTTTAGCCTTGAAAATTTACAATGTAAATAGCCATATAGTGTACAGATATATCAAATGCATGTATATTACAATTTCTTAAGAGATTATATTTTGGAAATAAGAAAACCTTAACATTTAATGGAAACCAGTGTATACCATACGAAAGCTGTTATATACCATACAGAAGTTGTTTTAATAGCATTACACCATATCAGCTCATGTTTTTGAATAACGATGTGTTTCTCTAGGCCAGGATGATTAATTAATGAAATATATTGACAAGGTGTGGTTTCCAGGTGTCAGTCATTTTAAGTATACAATATAATAGGACACAATCCGCATTATGTTTGACCTGATATATTTTCATGTATTTTGGGAAAATAACATGTAATAATGTGAACAGGCATGAAATATATGCTGAAGTGAAGCTCATTCATGTGAAGACAATCCAGGAGGAAGTGTCATTGTAATCATGTTTGAAAATAGTGTGATAAAGAGAGGAATCAGCAAGAAATAAATCATATAGGCATGTAGCGAACACTCTAAATTATATAGAAATACTAGAAACCAGATTGGATTGAAGTCTTAAAAGAGGAAGCACTCTTACGTGATATTACAAATCTATTGTTGCTCCATAGGGTGTTTCGTAAGTTCCAGGACTATATTGGATAATAATTTTGGAACACCCTGTGAACTATAACAAGACAAATGTCACCTTGCATGTATGCACAATTCGTATTTGCTTCAAACTCCTGTCTGTTCACGTTATATTGTGTTCGTATTTCAATATCCCATGTATTGTACAGAACATTCTCAAATAGCAGAATATTCTAGAGTACATTTTCGTGATTAGTATGTGACTTCAGTGGATCGGCAGCTAATAATTATGAAACGACAAAATCGTGTATTAAGATAACTGAAAGGTTACAGGCTTCATGTTTGTATTAAAACAACTGTGGTGCATTGTACTCTTAAAAATTGTGTACTTGTAACAGTATGATACATTCTGTACTTGTAACAGTATGGTGTATTGTTTACTGTACATGTAAAATTGTGGTCAACTGTTAACATCATAGTACATTGTGTACTTGTAACATTATGGTGTATTGATTACTTTTAACAGTGTGGTGCACTTTTTACTTGTAACAGTATGGTGCATTGTGTACTCGTAACAGTGTGATGCACTGTGTACTTGTAACAGGATGGTACATTGTGTACGTGTAACATCATGGCGCATTGTGTACTTGTAACATTATGGTTATTGATTACTTTTAACAGTATGGTGCACTTTTTACTTGTAACAGTATGGTGCATTGTGTACTCGTAACAGTGTGATGCACTATGTACTTGTAACAGTGGGGTGTACTTGTAACAGGATGGTGCATTGTGTACTTGTAACAGGATGGTACATTGTGTACTTGTAACAGGATGGTACATTGTGTACTTGTAACAGGATGGTACATTGTGTACTTGTAACAGTATGGTGGTGCATTGTGTACTTGTAACAGTGTGGTGCACTTTTTACTTGTAAAAGTATGGTGCAATGTGTACTTGTAACAGTGTGGTGCACTGTTTACTGTACTTGTAACAGTATGGTGTATTGTTTACTGTACTTGTAACAGTGGGGTGCACTGTTTACTTGTAACATCATGGTACATTGTGTTCTTGTAACATTA